AGGAGGTGGCAAGGCAAGCAGAGCCGCGCGCAGGAAGCTAAAACCCACGGGGAGCCCTGGGGAGGGGTCTCCAGGGAGGTGCAAGACCCCAGCGCCCCACGGTGATCCCAGGGGAGCCTGGGGACATCTGGGAAGGCTGTTGATGCAGGAAGGACAATCCAAGCCCAGCCCCAGGGCAGCCCAGCCCGGCAGCAGCCCAGCTAACGGATGCTGCCGTCGCCCTCACCGCTCTGCAGCTTCTCCCGCTCGATGGACCACACCAGCTCCTGCACAAACTTCATCTCCGAAGCCACCTGCTTGGCCAGCGCCTCGTAGTGGTTCTCCAGCCTCCGGTACCTCCTCTTGAGCCCATTGGCCACTTGCACCACGGTCTTGGTCTCCTCCTGTGCCTGCTTCTTCAGAGCCTCTGTCTTCTGCAGCTCCTGCCGGATCTGCCGCAGGTCCTGGCTGATGCTCTCGTTCTCCTCCTTGTACCACGACTCCTTCTCCTCATAGATGGACAGCAGGGCCTCGATGTCCTCCTGGAAGGACTTCTTGTTCCTCTCCAGCTCTCGGAGGCTCTCCTCAGCTGCAGCCACCTCCTCCATCACCTTGGAGAAGCGCTCGAAGTTGATGTAGGTGTTGTTGGGGGGCATGCTGGAGTGGGACTTGATGGTGTACTCCTTGAGGCGCGTGGTCTTCAGCCGGCGGCGCTCGGGCTTCTTGCCGCTGTCCTCGTTGCGGACGTTCCTCCTCTTGATCACCTGTGGAGCAGGGACAGCCACGGGCGTGGGACACAGCAGGGACAGATGGTTTCAGCACGACCACCAGTGGCACCAAAGCAGCCCCAGGGGGAGGCTGGGAGAGCAGGGAGGAGCGGCAGGGGGGGCCAAAAAAAGGCGCCGATTCTGTAACTTCTCACCTTAATCCAAGGGTGTTCCAGGCTCTGGGCGATGGTCATTCGCTTCCTGCAAGGACAGCAAGGCTGCAACCAAGGGCCAGAGGCTTCTCCTTTCCCTGCTAAATTCCTGGAAGAGCAGCTTGGATCCTGTCACCTTTGAGGTGCTGATAAGCCCAGACAAGGGCTGTACTCCAGGGCACCCCAGACAAGGCCCACGGTCAGATCCTGTGCCCTCAGCCAGCCTCCCATGAGGACATAAACACAGAAGAGCCCACAGGGACCCCCCAGCAGAGGCACAGCACCACTGCTGCCAGCCCAGGGTCCTGGGTCCTCAGATCAGCCCTTGATCCCTTCCAAACCCCAATCCCTCTACTTCAGGGGGATCCCTGAATTCACCCCACACCTAACACAGGGGAGAGACTTTTGTTTCCAGGCTTTTCACAGCACCAAATCCTACACGA